TAATTACCCATTGTCCCCTTTCTCAGACACTAGCATCCACTATTCTATTTTCTGCTTGTAACTTGACTACTCTTAAGTACCTTACAAAGTAAAATCATACAAATATTTGTCTTTTTGTGACTATAATGTTTTACTTAACATAATCACTTCCAGCTTTATCCATGTTGTAGTACATTCTGGAATTGTTTTCCATTTTTAAGGCTGAAAAATATTCCACTATATGTRTATACCAGTTTGGCTTATCCATTTATCTGTCAATGGAAAGTTGGTTACTTCCACATTTTAGCTATTGTGAAAAATGCTGCTGTGAACATGGGGGTACATATATGTCAAGACTGTTTTTTATCCTTTTTTTATATACATAATTTGATGGATCATGTGGTAGTTTTATTTTTGTTATTTTAAAACCATTCCATACTTTTTCACACTGGCTGTACCATTTTACATTCTCACCAACAATGTACAAGGATTCCAATTCCTCCACATTCTCACCAACACTTGTTATTTGCTATCCTATTAAATTTGAGATAGTATCTCAGTGTAGCTGTGGTTTACGTTTCCCTTATCATTAGTGATGCTGTGTATCTTTTCATGTGCTTATTGGTCATCTGTTTATTATTTTTGGAGAAATATATATTCAGGTTCTTTGCTTGTTTTAAAAATGCAATTGTTTTAGTTGTTGATAGTTTGGGGAGCTTTATATACATTCTGAATATTTACTCTTATCAGCTATGTGATTTGCAAATATTTTCTTCCATTCTTTGAATAGCCTTTTCATTTTATTAATAGTATTTTGTCAAATGCATAAATTTTAAATTTTTTCATGAAGTTCATTCTGTCCATTTTTTCTTTTGTTGCCTACATCTGATGTCATATTTAAGAAATCATTGTCAAATTCACTGCTATGAAGATTTTGCCCTGCTTTCTTCTAAGAATTTTATAAATTTAAGCCTCTCATTTAGGTTGTGATCCATTTTTAGTTAATATTTTTGTATAGTATTAGGTAAGGGTCCAACTGCATTCTTCAGTATGTGTATATACAGTTTTCCCAGAACCATTTGTTAAAAAAATTTTATTTTCCCCCATTGAAAATTATTTGGTCATATATGTGAATTCTAATCTATTCAAGGTCTGCATATTACTCAGGAGTAAGTTCACACTCCTTTGGGTTTATTTCACTGTAAATTGAAGAACAGAAAAATGAAAGAAGTATGGGGAGTGGAAGAGGCCCTTGGGGATCTTTGTAAATAGAGCCTTTTGTATTCCCAGTTGTGCCTATGTGAAAGCTGAGGAGCAGAAAACCTACCCACTGATTTTTCAAGCCCTCACTTTCCTTCCACACACAGATGGCAGTAATTTGAATCAATCACCAAATATGGCAGGACATTTATTCCGACTTCTGAATAAAGGGAAAAGGGAAAGAGCTCTGAAAGAATGAAGTGCTTTCCACACACATCAGTGAACATAAAATTGTAGACATTTTCACTCAATTGGGAGAGTCCTAGATTAAGAGTCTGAAATTCCCCCAAATTTGAAAAGCCCACATTTTTTTTTATTAGAGTATTATAGTTTTACCTCATAGTTGGGTTCATCCAGACAAAATCATACACACATGGAATTTGATTTCAGTTCACAATTCCCCTCTTCTTTCCTGTCCTCTCTTCTCTCTTCCATTCTCCTTTCTCTACTCTACTAGACTTCCTTTCACTCATCTATTTATTTATATTTGATTAGTTCTTTTTATTTACACATAAAGGTTAAATTCCATGTGTTATATTTATACATGCACATAATGATTTTTTTTTTAAATATTTATTTTTTAGTTCTCGGCGGACACAACATCTTTGTTGGTATGTGGTGCTGAGGATGCCAGGCGAGCACGCTACCGCTGAGCCACATCTCCAGCCCTCGATTTTTTTTTTTTTATTTAATATATATATATTTTTTTTAGTTCTCGGGGGACACAACATCCTTGTTGGTATGTGGTGCTGAGGATCGAACCTGGGCCGCACGCATGCCAGGCAAGCGCGCTACCGCTTGAGCCACATCCCCAGCCCCTCACATAATGATTTTTTAAGAACTCCTTCTGGGGGCTTGGGTTGTGGCTTGGAGGTAGAGCACTTGCCTCGCACCTTCGAGACCCTGGGTTCAATCCTCAGCACCACATAAAAATAAATGAATAAAATAAGGGTATTTTGTCCAATTACAACTAAAAAATAAATATTAAAAAAATAATTCATTCTGCATTGCCTTGCCTTTTCCATCCCTCCATTCTACTACTTCTACACTGAGGATCTTCCCTATATTTTTATGACATCCTACCCTTTTCTCCTCCTTTCATTTATCTTAGTCTACCTTCCACATATGAAAAAAACATTGATCTTTAAGTTTCTGTGTCTGGTTTATTTCACTTAGCACAATAATCTCCATTTACATCCATTTACCAGCAAATGCCTAAATTTTATTCTTCTGTATGGATAAGAAGAACTCTATCACAATTTCTTAATCCATTCATCTACTGATGGGTATCGGGTTGATTCCATACTTTAACTATTGTGAATTATGCCTCTGTCAACATCAAGGTGCCTTATATTGCTATAATATACTGATTTTAGTTATTCTGGGAAAATACCAATGAGTGGAATAGCTGAGTCATAAGGTGGTTCCATTCCTAGTTTTTTCAAGAATCTTCACACTGCTTTCCAAAGTGGTTGTACTAGTCTGCAGTCCCACCAACAATGTATAAGTGTACCTTCCCTACCCCTAACCTCGACAACATTTATTATTATTTGTATTCTTGATAATTGTCATTCTAACTGGAGTGAGATGAAATCTTAGTGTAGTTTTATCTGCATTTTCTCAGTTGCTAGAGATGTTGAGCATTTTTTTCATATATTTGTGTTTCTTCTGAGAACATTTATTGATTGGGTTATTTTTATTTTGGAGGGGGTGTTAAGTTTGTTGCATTCTTTATATATTTTGGATATTAATCCCCTCTCAGTGAAGTAGCTAGCAAATATTATTTCCCATTCTATATTCSCCTATTCTCTCTTCATGCTTTTAATGGTTTCCTTTGCTATCTAGAAGCTTTTTAATTTGATGGCATTTCATTTATTGATTTTTGGTTTTCTTTCTTGCACTTTGAGGTTCTTGATAAGGAAATCTATGCCAGCATCAATATGATGGAATGTTGAAATATTTTCTTCTAGAAGTTGCAAGTTTTCTGGTCTAATTCCTAAGTCTTTAATGTATTTTGACTTGAATTTTGTGCAGGGTGAGTGATAGGGATCTGGTTTTATTTTTCAACATAGAAAGTCCCACAATTTACACAATAAAATCTCCTCTGGCAGCTATAACTTATTCACAAACATCCGCCTGCACTCGTTTTCTCAAGGAAATCTTCCAGAGGGCTAAGAGCAGGAACATGGAAATTGCATGCCTTCAAGGTTCCTTGGCTTTACCAATTAATAGTTTTGTTCAGAATTTTAAGTCTTCAGATGAAAACCTGCCTGAAATACTTCTGTCGTAATTATGCAAGGTCTTGAAAGGTTCAGGAAAGAAGCAATCTCCATATTGATCATATAAGCCAAACTGAAAGCAGCCAGTGATCCAAAGCCATGATCTGTGCCATTGCCCAGACAATCCCATCCTATTTGCTTTGCATTACTCAGGAACCTTTCGATTTTCCAATTCACAGAGGGCAAGCACCATTTGAAAATTTCCAGGCCTCTCCTTCCTTCTTTCAAATATCTGTAGAGCAGGACTTTTCCTTATGTCAATGGGTTCTCAGAGGGAAGGCATTTGACAGCTTTTGCTGGGTCCTCCAACTTTTCTCACCACCTTGCATCTGCCCTTGCCTTGTTAATTCTGGCAAAAAAAAGGGGGGGGGGATTGTCACATTACTTAAAGTTGATGGAGTTTTGATGTTGTTAAAAAAATGCTTTGGGGCTAGGGTTGTGGCTCAATAGTAGAGCGCTCACCTAGCACACATGAGGCACTTGGGTTTAATCCTCAGCACCATTTTATTTATAAAAATAAAATAAAGGTATTATGTCCGCCTACAAATAAAAAATAAATATTTTTTAAAAATGTTTTGTGGATATAATCCTCAAATGAGGATAAAGATGGAGTGTGGAATCAGAACTAAGGATATGATCTTAGTATGTGGGATTCCTGAATCAGCTGTGAGAATCAGCTAGAAAATGAATGTTGGCTCTCCATCTGATGCAATGCTGTGTAAAGCTCAATTTGCCAGCTGGATTAAAGTTGGAGGCTACTTCTGGACTAAGGAGCACTTCATTCTGAACCAGTATTGCCATGACATGTGTTGGAGACTGCCAGGGACCAAAAGGGAGTTCTCCCTCAAAGAATAGCCTGACAGTGCCAGGGACCAAAAGGGAGTTCTCCTTCAAAGAATAGCCTGATAGTGCCAGGGACCAAAAGGGAGTTCTCCTTCAAAGAATAGGCTGACAGKTACAAGAAACAGCCCCCTAGGAGACATCTCGCCTGGGAGACACCCTGCAGCCATCCATCTCCCWGAGACATCCTACGGCCATCTGTCTTCCTGAAACATCCTGCGYTATCTCACCTTGTGAAGACTTCTAGCAACTGCCGATAAGAGAGCTCCCCCCATCCCCAGCCCATAAATACCCCTGTGTGAACAATAAAAGTTTGCASCTTGATCAGAACTTTTGTCTTGCTGTCACCCTTCGTGTCTCTTGTCCCTTCATTCCTCCCCATCTAGGTTCGCTGCCCACGTTGATGTGTCCTGCCGGTCGGGGCAGGAGACCTGAGATTTTTCTGGATCTTTGCCTGATAGAGGCAAGGCACTTTCATATGGTTACTGGTAAGTGAACCTAGAAGCAAGTTAAGGTGTGAGAAGGTCCTAGAATCAGAAATGTGCTATTTAAACTACAAGGCAGTTATTCTTCTGATGAACTCACTGGACAGTATATAATAGTAATGACATTTTAAGAAAGATTGGAATTATCTATCAATTAGGGGGTATAGCTCAGTGGTAGAGCATGTGCTTCGCATGTACAAGGTCCCTGGTTCAATTCCTGGTACCTCCAAGAAGTATTTTTATCAGCCACCTTCCTCTCATTCCCTTTCCTGTATTTCCCTTAGTCACAAGAAAAGGAAGTCTAGTGGTTTAGATTTAGCACTCTCTCATTTCTACTCCTTGAGGATTAGCACATCCTAGGGCAGGGCATCAGCAAAAGAAGGTAGAGGACAAAGTAGGAATCATCCCCACCAGGATCTATGACTTCTTAAGCAAGAACCTGAATAACCACTACCCTATTCAAATTGGGTTTTATTTAGCATGTCATGGAAGAGTGTATAAAAAGAGGAAGAGGAAAAGAAATGGCTCATGGAAATTTTCTCTTAGTTTTCTGAGCAGTGTGGACTTCCTTTTTGGCTATAGAGAAGGCGTCTGAAATAAGAATAGCATAAAGACTGAAAAGAATCCATAAGAATTGGGTGAATTAGGAGTCACTGATATGTATTTCTGAAAAACAAAATAATAGCTTTCCCTTCAACTGATTTTGGACTCTGAGATTCTTTGTTTTTGTTTTAGGAATCTTCCTGGCCTGTCAGCATTCTCCAAGGCTGTTCCACAGCCCACTCTGATAGGTTTTTCATTCCATCACCAAGGAAATTATCTGGACTGGGGCATTTTCTTAGTAGGTCTTCAGATTTCCCCTTTTCCCCAGTTTCCTTTTCCTGCAAACCTTCCCCAAAGATGACAAAGGTAAAACAGAAAGATATAAAGAAGACAAGTTAAAAGCTGCCTGGGGAAATTTAGGTCCTTGCAACAGAAACTGAAAGAATTGGGGAGGAGGGAGAATATTGACTGTTGGATACATAGTCTTTTAGATGGAATTCTCTGCGGAATAAGGAGAGGGCAAGGGAAAAGATGATCTATGAAATGAACCAGTACTTTATATACTTAGAGAGTGTCTCAAATTTTAACACTGAGTGAAAATGGTCCATGCTTTTCTCCTTTTGCCACTATTTTGTATGATAGTCAACCGCTATAGGAGTTTTGAGTGAAGACTGAAAGCACATTGCATACAAGAATACTGATTTATATCATTTCAAAATCTTCCCTTGATTCAAAATCTGGCATATATGGGAAACACGGCCAATAAAGTCAAACACCCAGAACCTGGATGGCATTAGCTGAATTACTGGAAAGATCTTACTCAAGAGGATGTAGAGTGAACCCAAGATGAAAGGGAAGTGATGAGCACTTGGTAAGAGTGATGAGGCTAGGTTGGGGTTAGCAAAGTGGGAAGAAGAGGGCTGGAATGTGGATCTTTAAGTACTTTAAGGAAAGAAGATAAAAAAAGTTTTGTCCTGTGGGAAGGTCCCACTTTTCTTTACTCAAACTCTGTCAACTTTTGAAGGTGTCTGTGAGTTGTCTGCATATATCTAAGTTCTTCAGAAGGCATCAGTGTGGTTGAGTTTTTGTTTTAAATGTAGTAGCATCTGGTATTGGTGGCTTTCCAGAAACAACAAGGAAGCCAAATGATTGAATGAGAGTATACATATATTGCCTTGGAGTAGATGACAATGAAAAAATGAGTTCAGCTTTATTAAGTTAACAGGGAACTAGGGGTAAGGTGAGACTGGGTAGCTCAGTTGGTAGAGCATCAGACTTTTAATCTGAGGATCCAGGGTTTAAGTCCCTGTTCAGACATAAACTGCTGGTATTTCCCCCTCTTTAGATTTATCTAAATAGATTTATGTAAGTCCAGATAGCATAACATTGCTGGAACTTCCCCCAGAAAACTCATTAAATGGGTACCCAGGTGAGGCTGTTACTAGTTTCTTCCCCCTCCTTTGCCTATATGAGTCTTTTTTCATGTTCTCAGAAATCCCATGACAGTTATTAAGCTTGGGAAGGAGAAGGAACATCATTTGTCTGACAGAACTTGCCTCTCCAGTTGGTCTAAAAGGCTCATCAGGCTGCTGGAATGTGAGAATAGGAAACATAAAAAGGACAGGCCTCACTGAGGGAGAGAATTAAGATGGTGTTATATGCAAATGTGTGCAGAGGACACATTTGTGTGTATGGGGACAGGGCTGGTTCAAACTTGGTTCTGGGGTTGGTGTAAAGCACAACTAGGATTATGTCAGCTGTTTCTGATAAACCATTCCTCTGCATTGTGATTGGAACAAACTATATTCCAAGCAGACTCTTGCTTATTTTTTATATAAAAAAAATTTTTCCCATTTGCCTCCAGCTATATCTCATAAATAATTTTATTTTGTAACAAGGGCCCATTTTATGTTTTCTTTGCACAACATTCTTGAAACATTTTTTTAATGAAAGGCAGTGTGGTTAATCCTTAAGTCACAGATTTTTCTGAGGAACCCAAAATCTTACACAAAAGACAAAACATGCCAATGCCTAGTATACTGTATTGAGAAGTCCCCAAAACATATGAAACTGAAGTCTAACTCACCTATATCCTGAGAGGAAATAGAAGCCAACTGAGTCCTGTTTTAGATGATGTTCTAGAGAAACTATATTGGAATATCACTTGAGTGTGTTGAGATATCATTGCATACAACATGTATGATATCATCTGATATTACAAAAAAAAAAAAAAAACTTTTACATGACCCTGCTCTACAGATATGGAAAGAGTAATGAAGTATGTTCCAGAAATTGCCTATATCACCAACTTTTAAATGGCACTAAGTTAAAGATCTAGTTTTTATGACTGCAAATCTTGGATTACTTTTTTATAATATCATATTTCACTCACATATATACAATTTAATGTGTCTCAAGCTGTGTCATTCACCGTGTGTAGATTGTGTTGCACATAGTAGCCTCTTGAGGGGCTAGGTGTGGCTCTGTAAACTCCCTGTCATGGAATGAATGCATCATGCAGGTGCACCACTGCCTCTAGCTCTGCCTCAGATCCCACACAGTACCTGAGATGAGTGTGACTCCCTGTCAATCAATCTGCTGACCAGGAGATATCAGGAAGCAAGACTCCACCCTTGAAACCTTATCCTCCCTCTAATGTCTCCACTATAAAATAAAGGAAACATGGGCTCACACCATAGTCTCTTTTCCAGTGCTCTTTCCAGCGTGGAAGCTGACCTTTAAGGTCACAGAGCTGTCCCTCCCTCGATTTGAAAACTACTTTTTCTGTATGTGTTTTTTTGCCTCTTTCTTAGCTTAATGTTGCAGCAATTGAACACAGTTCAACAGTTGAACACAGTTCATCTCGACTATATGGGTCTTTGGCAAGATTAATGGTCTCCTTTCATTTCAGGTCTTGTGCCAAATGCTAAAGACAAAGAGTTCAAAGAAATGGAGGATAAATAATACAATATTATTTCCTCCACAAATTTCACATGTTTTTCAGTTCAGGCTCCTTATAAACATACAAAAGTTATTTGTTTAATGATGTCCCAAGTTTCCAATCAGAATCTTTGACAAAAAGAATTCTTACACTTTTATCACTTTTTTAATTTGTGAATTGCCAAAGTTAAGTCAAATAAATACCAAAGTTGAATCATTTCTGCAATTTAGAATAAAGGGACCAGAAGGAACAGAACAATCTTGAAAGGACTAGAACAAAGGAATATGATACTTTTACATTTTGGACAAGTGACCATCCTTACCAGTATGCTCTCCCTGTTGTTTGTCCCTAAAGTATGAGGAGTTGAACTCCAGCCTCACACATGCTAGGGAGGTACTCTGTCATTCAGCTGTATTTCCAGCCCTCTTTTCTCTCTATTTATATATTGAGGAGTGGAAGGATACTTTGTTACTTGCTTTAACAATTCAATTTTCCTCAAGAATCCCTTGTAATAGAAGGGATTTTCCTCCAATATTTTCCAATATTGGAGGAAAAAATAAAACATCTCCTTAAATATCTGAAAATTATTATCTACGAGTAACAAACTTGCAGAGGACAGAAGTTAATATGGTTCTTCAAGGATACTAGTCCCTAAATCAATGGTCATGGTAATGACAGTTGCGGTGGGAAAAGGTGGGATAGAAACTATGTTTATCATAAAATATAATATACAGGCAGCCATCTACAACTCAAGGAGAAAGAATCCACCAGAAATCAAACCTGCTAGCACCCTGAACTTGGATTTCAGTCTTTAAAACTGTAAGGGAGCTGGGGTTGTGGCTCAGTGTTGGAGTGCTTGCYTAGCATGTGTAAGGCACTGAGTTCAATCCTCAGTGAAAGAAAAGTGGTGCAGGACTAATCACACACAAACCCAGGGTAAGAAGCAGGTTTATTGTCAGGAGCCTGACAATGCTGCTCTGCACAAAGAGAGGGACAGCAGCAGCCAGCAATGAAGAACAACAGCAACTCCTCCTTGAATGTTACCTTTTATAGGCTAGAATCATGGCCCCACACTAGGGGCAGGTTTAGTCTTAACTGACAAAGTAAGCATCTCCTGATCTTCTGGAAGGCAAGTTTGTTTCTTGGGAACAGAGACAAGCAGTTTTCCTATCTCTCAGAGGGGGAACAAGGAAACCAGCATGTCCCTTTATCTTCTCAAGGAGAGAACAGGGAAACCAGTACATCCCCATCTCAGGGACCAGAAGTTGTCTTCAATCTCTCAATGAGGGAAAAGGAAGAGACCAGAATGTCTCCAGGTTGGTAGGTTTTATCTCAGGCTACTTTCTTGGGAATAAAAACAGTATTCATAAAGTGACGGTGGGGAACAGGAAGATGGCTGCAATTATGCTAACACTCAGCACCACATTAAAAAATAAATAAATAAAAATAAAGGTATTGTGTCCATCACAACTAAAATATTTTTTAAAAACTAAGAAATTAAATTTATACTGTTTAAAAATATTATTTTCCAACAATTAACTTGTGATAATTAACTCCATTTTACTTTGTCATTGAACTTATTTAGAAAAATAAGAACAAGTCTTCAATTATTTAGATACTAGCAAAAAATAAATTTTATGGTGTTAATATATATATATATATGCATAGAGATATAATATTTACATTATAGTATAAATATAAATTATGTATATACTCACACATACCTATATATACATAAATAATCA